CCCCAAAACCCCAAAACCCCAAAACCCCACAATCATAACATAATCATAAAGAAATAATAATATAGAAATGTAAAATAGCTTTGGAATAATATAATAATTAAGTGTAGAATGTTATTCCTCTATAGTACTACAAAATTCATGATTTTAGTGATGTTTTTGTTTTACTTCGACATGATGAGAGGCTTGATTCTCTTTACGCTACTGAACCTCACTTATAAATACGTAGTTGCCTTCCTCTTAGGCCTCTCAGTTATGTCCATTTAGGATAGCCTGTGTCTTTATGATTCAGATTTGGCAGTGTGTAATTGCGCAAGTAACACATATTCTTATTAACCAAACGTATTTTAGCTGTCCTTATTCTAGAAAAACTAACTTATGACGAAATCAAAGACCAAATTGTCAACAGAATAATGAGAAATCTTAGAAGAATGAGACAGAAGATAGTTTATGTGTTTGGAGACCCTTATCTTAAAGATGTGCCCATTGAAGAAGCATCTAAACTGGTATATCACAGAAAAGAGCCAGTCCATAGTGAGGAAGAAATAGTTAAATTTATGGAATTTATTCTACCCTCTAGAATATGTTTATAAAAGCCCCCCTGGGAAGTACACGTGTTTCCTGATTACAACGATACTGAGAGTGCAGTTATTCTTAAGATTCATCATTCAATCGGAGATGGTCTTTCAGGCTAGTTTGCAGCTTTGACGTCTTCAGATCATTTTGATCCCGAAAATGCTCCTCCTATAAGAAATGTCACCAATAAAGAAAGATTTTTACTGACATGCTTAGGATTTCTAAGGTTACCTTGGGCTCTATTCAAATCAATGTATTATTGGGCAGCTCCAAATCCTCTGAATTACTCTCCACAACTAAGCGGTAAAAAAGTATGTGAAGTATCCAAAGATTATATATTGGAGGATATTAAAGCAGCTTCAAAACTCAGCAATGTTACTATTAATGATTACATATCCTCAGTCCTTGGAGTAACTGTCTATAAATACTTTAACAAGCAAAATTTTAAAACTGATGAGGTAGTTGTGAGTATTCCAATCAATATCAGATACTACAAACCATAAACTATTGAAGAAATCTAGATTGATAACAAATTTACTGTTGAATTAGTAAAACTTCCAGTTATGAGGGATTTCGATGCAACCTTGAAGACAGTCCATGATCTCTTTTAAAAGCTAAAATCATCATCTGATTCCTTTTCAATTTATATGATCAGTCTCATTCTAGGCAGTATGGTGCCATTCTAACTGACATAAAAGCTTATTTATGACATTACCAAACAAATTACATTTGTATTCACTAATTTACCTGGACCTCAAATGCCAATATACTTTAAAGGCAGAGCAAGTAAAAAAGCATGGATTCATTTTATTCCAGCAGGTCAGTGCGGTGTATCACTAGGACTTTACTCTCATAATGGGATAGTCAAACTTGGGACTTGTGTTGATGATGCTACTATGAAAGACTCTAAGTAATTCTTAAAACTTTTTGAGGAGACATTAGATGAAGTTCTAATGAATAAATAGGTTTGAGCATAGAAGATATATAATAGTTTATGTAAGCTTTATTTCTCTAATGCCTATTTACCCCTAGATTAATTTATATTACAGACATTCTTTTAATTTGAAGTATTTCGACATTAAGGGGTTTTGGGGTTTTGGGGTTTTGGGG